CCCCCAGCCAAGCGCCGGGGCAGTCCCGGGAGGGGGGCGGGGCGCCAGGGGCATCCCGGGAGGGCGGGGTGGGGGGACGGCGGGGCGCCAAGGACAGGCCATTTTTCCTAAAGGAACCCCTTGTGGCGAGGGGAGGTGTGGCCAGCTGTCAACTCAATTCCACAGGCTGAGCGTCCCCGGATCCTCCGGCCTCGGCCTCGGGATTGAGGAAGACCATACTCCAAGACGCTCGCACCTACCGACCCCTACTCCGTTCTTTCCGCTGCTTCTTAGGTGTCCCAGTGCCCCGCGTGTGGCTGGAGCGGGCCGTCCAGGAGGCTGCCGGGTGCTCTGCGGCCTCTAACAGCAGCAGGTGGTTTTTCTCCCTTTTCCTTATTAAGCAACAGAGACTGCCTAAGATGGTAGGCAGAGATGATCAAGGAAAGCTGGCCTCGAGATGGTGCAGGCCCCAATAAAGAGTCGCTGCCTTCTTATCTAGTCTCAGACTCCATTCCTGAGAAGAGGGCAGCTGGGGGAAAGGATGCTCCAGGCTTCACTGAGGCTCATCTTTCCCCATCTAGGGTCTCCCATCAGCAGCCTCTATCCCTGCACCAACAGGGGAACCCCCCTTCTGATACTCTCAGAAACTTTGCTCCCTGTAGACACTGTCCTTCCTCTGCTACCAACTGGATCACGGGTTTTTCTGGGACTAATTAAAACAAAAATGATCACATTCTCCCCTCATTGTCCACAGTGATTTCCCCAGTTTCCAGCTCATTAGTTTAAGCCTAATTGGAATTCTCGGGATCCTTTCAGCTGTTCCTGTGGTAAAGGCCCAAGTTAGCATCCTTACCTGCACAGGCTGGTGCTGTCTCTGCCTGAGTGAGGGATCAGCCCTGCCCTTGCCCAGGGAGGCTCTAGGATGCAGGGGGTAGTGGGGGCAAGGGAGGCGGAGCTGGACAGAGAGGCTGAAGGGGATGTCTGAAGCTTCTCTTGCTTGATTCGGAATACATTCACTGGGTTCCGGGTACACATCCATTAGAAAAGAGTCAAGGCTGAAGTCAGAGGAAAATGCAGTGACATAAGAGTCCTTGAGTATTCGGTACTCAAAACGCAGTATGTAAAAGGAGTTGTGGATAGTATTTTCCAGAAAGTTAAAGTGTCCGAGTCTCCCCTCTGTGTCAAACAGTGGCACCTCCAGCCTCGTCCTCCATGTTCAGCAGCTACTCTAAACGCATCCCTGCCATGTCAATCCCATGCATTCATAGGTCCTGGGACTTTTCCAGTACTGGGCTAGGGGAATGGGACCCAGCAGTGCTGTAGGATGTGTGAGAAGGTGACCACGGCATTGAGGTTCCTTTACTCGTTAGCCTCCTAAATGGCTGGACTTCACTGCCTTTGTGCCTTGGCATATACCAAGATAGTTAAGGACTGTTCTTAAATCAAGTCCAAGGTTTGAAATTGAAAAACAAAACACCCATAACATCAAAAGAGCAGCCGAGGGGAGGACTGTCTCTCTAGTGGGATATGAAACCTCCAGGAGGGATTCCCTCACTCACAAAATTGTACTCCCACAAACCAGCAAATCCCCTGTGGGGCCTTCCTAGACAACCCCTACACCTGGATTCCCCCGAAATGCCAGTCTGGGGCCATCAGCAAGAAGCTACTGATAGCTGTGACTTCTGTCATCCCAACTGCAGAATCCCCAGCTGTTTCTTCTCCATCAACACCTTCATCATCCCAGCAGCCTTCAATGAAGTACTGGAATGCCCTTGAAGACCATCTCCTTCTGTTCTCTTCATCACACCTGCCTTTGCTGATTGAAGCTTTTAGCAACTTGTGTGATCCAAAACCGAGGCTTAGTGGAGATTCACCAGAGACTCTCATTGTCGAAGTCAATATCCTACCGTTCTTACAATTCCCCATCCCTCACCACCTCCCTGAATGTTCTGTCTAGTAGTCACTGAATGAGAGGTGTCACCATCCACCAGAAACAGATGTCATCAGGCCTTTGCCCAGCTCTCTCCAACCACATGCACATCGTCCTCAAACTTCTGTACCATGCTCCAAAAACCTGACACTTGGCCTTACCAACTTAGGAAAGCACCGACACAATGGAACCTCAAACTTAAAAGGAACCTTAGCTGCCTTTCATTCATTGTGTTTCCTCATTTGTAAAATTGGATTGAAAACAGAAACCTGCCTGCCTACCTCAAAGGGTTATGTGTAAGGGTGAAAAATAAAACATTATACAGATCTCGATTGTAATTACTATGACCTAAAAAACTGGCAGTCAACCTGGGACCAGACCTCCTGACCTCCAAGCTAGTCCTTTCATGTGTGCATGCACCACGCCATGCAGGAGACGAGTAGGGGCAGGATTGCTGCTCCCTGTCCCCACTCTGCTGCTCTGCACCCCACAGGGCTCCTTGGTTGCGATGAGAACTGAGGCAGGGTAATCCAGTTGCTCCTGCTCTCTGCTCCTGCCATTAGACTACAGCCCAGAGGGCCCCACAGACAGCCAGACTGAGGACAGATTCCAGGGAGCGACAGGGCCCTCCTGCCTGAATGGGTTCTGACCCCCTGTCACTCATGCCCACTCGTTGTCTTGCCACTCCCTGGACAGCCTCAAAACTGCAAAGAGCATCACGAAGCCCCTGAGAATAGCTGCAGTGGGTCTTCACGTGACGTCAGTGTTTCTGCAGGCTGGGAGTGGGCGCCACCGCACAAGATCTCAAAGCTTGCACAAAAGTGGAAATTTCACCCTCTGTTCTGAAAACTATACTGGCCACTTATTTATTTCTTAATACATTCAAAAACTTCCCAGAGAGGAGGGCAGCTTCTTTCCCATGGGCACATTTGTCTATGGCAGCTTTCAATGCAAATCAGAGGTTCCAATTTTCCTAAGTATTCTAATCTCAATCCCAACTGATTTATAAGAAATAAAAGTGCATAAACATACAAACTAAAAAAAAAATGGAGTGGTTAAAGTAAAAGCCAAGGAGAAAAAGAAAAGTCATTTACTTAAATGTTGGCCCAGCATGACAATGTACACTGGATTTTATTTTTCTTCAGCCTGGACCCAGTTCCAATACTCTGACATAAATCCTCATGATTTCGCTAAACCAGTGGTGACTCTTTAAGTGATCTACCGCCCTCTGGTGGCTCTTCCTGGCACATGCCATTATTTCAGGAATGTTCAGAAAAGGGGCTTACTAAAAAAAAGTCTGAAATTTGAGATAGGAAAATTCCAGAGAGGGAAGTCCTGCTTGAAAAACTACAGCCACGGTGTGTGGAGGGAAAAGGCATTGATTAGGGAGATGTTGGTCAAAGGATACAAAATTTCAGTTAGGACGAGTGGGATCAAGAGTGTTGTGGGCCGGCCCGGTGGCACACTGCGCTAGTGCGCCGCTTGGGAAGCGCGGAGGCGCTCCCGCCGAGGGTTCGGATCCCACATACAGACCGGTTCCCGCTCACTGGCTGAGCGAGGCGCGGGGGCAACACCGAGGGTTGTGATCCCGTTGCCGGTCCTGGTCCGGTACGGGGGCAACACTGAGGGTTGCAATCCG